TAAGCGGGTGTTAAAAAATTACTTTATGTATTAGATAATCGTAAAACCTGCACTGTCATTGTGTTGCTAATGACCTGACCACGAAGGCGTGACGCTCATGAGGGATCTCGTATGCGTGTTAGCTTAGGGTTGTAGCCTCCTGAGTTGCGTTCTTATGCCGACTTTTCTCTCTTCTCTTGCAGGGTCTCTCCCTCGACAGAGTACGATGCACAAAATAAAAAAGGGAATCAAAAAGAAGATCAAAGGAAAGAAGGATAAAGATGATGAGTTGTTCACCCCGGAAGAATTAGAGAAATATAAAAAAGAAAAAGAAGAGGAAGCGCGTCGACTTGCTGAGCAGCAGCAGCAGCAGCAGCAGCAGCAGCAGCAGCAACAGGAGGAGGAAGTTCAGCAAGAGCAGGCACAGCAGGAGGAACCAGGGGCAGAGAACGGAGGAACTGCCAGCAATTCCGAGGAAAAAGCCGCACCTTCAGGAGACAAGCAGGACTGGAGAAACTTCTTCGCTGCCACTGACACCGTCCTCAAGAAGACCTCTGACAACCTCCAGCACATCAAGGAAGCAAGTTACTTTCAGAAGAAAGAGGAGAAGCCTGCTGAACCCAGCGCAGCTGCTGTTCCATCTGCTGCAGCTGCAACAGCAGCCCCAGCTGGACCTCCAAGTGCCACCGGTAAGAGGTGGGTCGACCTTGAGAGTGGAGGCATCGACGATGAGACTGAGGTAGAGGGAGAAGAAGAAGCCCCGAAGGAGGAGGAACCTCAGGACAAGAAAGAACCTGAGGCAGAACCTGCACCTCTACAGTTCATCGAGGATCTTCCTGATGTAGATGTCGACGACTTTGCAGAAGTCTTTGACACCACATACGTCGATAACGTAGAGAGTGGTGAGGTAAAACTCCACTACATTCCTGACAGTCCAACTACCGACTACGCAAACGAACCCGACCCCTTCGATACCTCTGTGGTCGACAAAGTTCTTCACACCGAAGAACCAGAACCCAAAAAGCCACAGCAGACCCCGAAGGAACCCGAAAAGAAGAAGAAGAAGCTCGTAAGCCTTGGGTGTGCTGTTGATGTCCTCACAGGGAAGCTCCAAACCCCAGAAAAGACTCCTGTGAACACTACAGTTGACACCAAAAAACGAAGGGTCATCCCCCAGGAAATCAATTTATTAGCTGACTTCACTGAAAATGGAGAAGCTGTAGTCTCAGCCGAAGATAGTGAAGCAACAGAGAAAGAGGAGACTGAACAGAAACCAGAGGAAAAGAACCTTTTGGATGAAATACTTTGTGTAGGTGACGGAGAAGGACAACTACCTGAACTTGGTGCTGTTCTAGGCACAACCCCACGTGCTGTCTCTCCTGCACTTCTTACTGAAGGTGAAAGTGAGAGTGACGTAAAGGTAAATGAGGGAGTTGAAGGCGAGAACAAAGAAGTTGACCTCAGTGAATTCCTAGAATCCTCAGGAGACGACCAAGACTCGAAAGAAACCAAACAGGAAAACGGAAAGGACTTAGACCTTAAGGACCTTGTTGCTGAGTTTGATATTATCGACAAATCTGAAGTAACCAACGAATCTCTTATCCCCACTGAACCTGATCCAATTGAAGACGAATTTGACGCTGAGTTCGCATTCTTAGCTGCCGAGTCTGTTGCTAAATCAAAGGAAAAGGAATTTGAGGAGCTTGAAGACGATCCATTTGACACTTCAGTTGCTGCTCAAGTTCTTGGACCAGAAGGAAACGCTGATGATAAAGATCCATTTGATGTGAGTTTCATTGATGGTGTGGTAATCGAAGACACCACTCAAAAAGCTAAACCTACTAAGCCACCTCCACCTCGACCTGCCCTTCCCAAGGTCCAGAAAGAAGAACCTGAAGAGGAGGTTGACCCCTTTGACACATCCATAGCAGAGAAGCACCTGCCTGTAGATCATCTCGCCTCCCCTGACGCAGACGCAAGTCTTCCAGAAGCACTACAGCCACAGGCAGAGAGTGACATTACTAAATCAGCCAGCTTTGACCCCTTTGACACCTCTATTGCAGAGAGTTTTGGAAAAACTGAACTTAAGGTCCTTGAAAGCGAATTACTCAGTGCAGGTCAGCCAGGTACCCTCAGTAAGAGTGACTCTGACTTTGACTTTAATCCAAGAGAGGAGGAGGAACCCAAAGCTGCACCCTGCTTGCTAACCAGTTCGGAGATCGAGGACACTAGTGCACCAGTTCTAGCACCTTCTCAGGACGCACTTGCAGACGACTTCGATCCTTTTGATACTTCTATTGCAGCAAAAGTTGAGATACAGACTCTTGAAGCAGAGTTCCTGACACAGCCAGAGAATAATCAAGAAAAATCTGAGGAAGCTTCAACTCTACCCAAAAAGAAGCAGCCACCACCACGCCCTGTTCCTTCCCCTGTACACCTGCTAGCAACTACACCTACAGATAATAATCCAACACTTTTACCATCAAGTGCCAACGAAAAATCTACAGCTGACGAGAGCTTCGATCCATTTGACACATCTATTGCTGAAAGTTTTGGAAAGACTGAACTCAAGGCTCTTGAGAATGAACTTTTGTCTTCCCAAAATACAGATCAAGAAGTAAAGCAAGTTTCTCAAGAAAAGAAACCCGAGGACAGAGCCCTTGATCTTCCAATCAAACCTCTTCGTCCACCATCTCCTCGTTGCCTCTTAGCAGCTACACCACTAGACGAAAACCCAACACTCCAACCTGTTTTACAGCCGTCAGCAGATGCCCCACCTTCAGTAGCAGACGACTTTGATCCCTTTGACACATCAATTGCTGACCAATTTGGGAAGACTGAACTGAAGGTACTTGAAAGTGAACTTCTTGTGAGTGGCTCTTCTGAAAAAGTAGAGGACAACTTTGACCCTCGAGCAGTAGAAGCACCGGCAAAGCCATCAAAACCTTCAAGACCGCCGTCCCCAGCTCGTCCTCAGTGTCTCCTGACTGCTTCTCCCTCACCAACAGGTGCTCCCCCTAGTTTGGAGCTTTTAGCACCAACAGAAACAAAACCAAACGCTCCTGAGGCTGATTTTGATCCATTTGATACCTCAATTGCCGAAAAATTTGGTAAGACTGAACTGAAGTACTTTGAAAGTGAGTTGCTTGACACAGCACCGGCTCCAGGTCCTGATCCATTTGACGAATTTGATCCCAGGGCAGAAGAAGCTAAATCAAAGGCACCCCAAAGACCTCCTAAACCAGGCAGGCCTCCAGTGCCACCAGCTCCGTGTCTTCTAGCAACCACTCCAACAGACAACAGTGCTCCCCTCCAGCCCTGCATAGAACCACGTCAGGAGCCCAAGGAAGCAGCAACTGCAGCAGAGGAGTTTGATCCTTTCGATACCTCCATTGCAGACAAACTTGGCAAAACTGAAATAAAGTTCTTAGAAGAAAGTCTTCTTTCAAAGGAGGAAAGTCAGGTTGAAACTAAGCCCCAGGCATTTGTACCCCGTGTAGAGAACACCACTAACGCTGCTCTGCCAGAAGCAAGTCAAGCTCCCTCTGTGACAACTGATCATCTCCTTTCATCTTCTCCTACTGAGGATCTCAGACCTACTCTTCAGCCAACATCAAGTGTGACAGAAGAGTCTGTGAAAGATTTTGATCCATTTGACACTTCCATTGCAGACCAGTTTGGTAAGGCTGAATTAAAGACTCTTGAGAGTGAACTTCTAACAGATTCAGGTGTTAAAAAGAATCTAAGTGACGAGGAATTCGACCCACGTCAAGAGGAAATTAAAACTCCAAAGCGACCTCCACCCCCTGCTCAGAAACCTGCAACACCTGTCAACTTGTTAGATTCCACTGACGACCATAATTTATCTGATCAACCAATTCAGGTTCTCCAGGCACAGTCAGCAAAGAGCCCTGAGATTGCAGACGATTTCGACCCATTTGATACCTCAATAGCTGCAGATATTGGACCAAGCAAAGCTGAACTGAAATATCTTGAGACAGAGCTCTTAAGTGCAACTAAAGATCCATTTGATACTTCAGAGGCATAGGCTGTGAATTTAAATTTAGGAGCAAGTTATAATATATAATATCAAGATGGATTTCACAGGGAATGTGAAGAATCCCTTCCTCTTTGATGACCCAGCACCACCTGCTGATGTAGGTGATGCAGCAGCAAATCCTTTCCTTAATGGTGGTCCCTTCGACTACTCGGCCACCTCATATACAGGAATTAACCCCTTCAGTGACCAGATTGATGATTCCAATGCTGCTGCTGCTGGGCTCTTTGGGGACCCAATGTCGTATCCTACCGACATGAATCCATTTGGAACAATTCCAGATGCCTCACAGCCATTTGGTGCAGTGGAACCGCAACCACAAGCAGAGCTCTTTGGGGGGCCAGTGCCACCCATGAACCAGGTGTCAGGCGATCTTTTTGGTGAGCCCATAGTTCCAACCACTGCTCCGGCAGTGTCTCACCATGCATCGGCACCTCCACCTGTGCCCCCAGCCCCCCATCATCCACCAATTCCACCACATCCCTCGGTTCCTCCTGCAAGACCACAGCCACCAGCTTCAGTTGCTTCACCTGTTATTGACCTTATGAGCGATGGTCCAGTGATGGAGGAACCTCATGCAGCACCAGGAAGACCTCCACCTCCCAGACCACCTCCCCCATCAAAGGAAACAAAGGACCTTTTACAGACGGTCATAGGAGCCATGGAAGCTACAACAGACACATTGCATGAAAAACTAAATACAACAAGAACACCGTGTCCTTCTCCAGGGAGTGGTGTCGCTAACTCTCCAAGTCCTACACCTGACATACAAGTCACAGAACCTGAGAAGGAACCAGACTCATTTAGCGCAATATTTGGTCAGACCATTGATGAGAGTGACCATGAGATGGAGGAACCCAAGAACATAGTTGATACAGCACCAGCACAGGAAACAACCACTACATCGGAAGATATTGATCTCTTTGGGGATATGCCATCTCAAAAGCCTAAAACTAAACAGGAT